AGTAATTCCCACTGTAACGTGGAGACTTCACGAGAATGGTTGTGAAGTTCATTTAGGAAAGAAACAGGCCAGACAAGCCAGGGAAATTCTTTGCAGAGGGACAAGGTGTGGGGAGGCAGGCAGCTAGAGCTGCATGGGCCAGCACAAGGATGTAGCAAACTAGATATAGGCGCAGAAAGAATATTTGATTCACGATACAAGTGGGTAACTACTCTGTATCAAGTGAGAATGAACAGTGGGGGCTGGAATAATGTCCCTTATTCATAAAGAGAACTCCTACACCTATGGGTAAAAGAACAACATTGCAACTGAAAACAGCATAGAAAATGACAGAAGAAATGCAGACAGCCACAAGGCATACATAGATGGCTGACTACACTGGCAGTCAGGGATGTGCAATTTTCTATCAACTTTACACAGGTTAGAGTCACCTAAGAGGAGGGAAACCCACTTGAGAAAATGCCTCCATAAGATTGGGCTGTAAGCCTGTAGTGTATTTTTTAAAAATGAGTTATTGATGTGGGTAGGGCCACTGCTGGGCTGGTGGACCTGGGTCTGTAAGAAAGCAGGCTGAGCAAGCCATGGGGAGCGGGACAGTAAGCAACATGTCTCCAAGGCCTCTGCATCAGCTCCTGCCTGCAGGTTCACGCCCTGTCCTGATAGACAATAGATGTGGAAGCATAAGTCAAATAAACATTCTCCTCCCCAACTTGGCTTTTGTTCATGGTGTTTCATCACAGCAATAGTAACCTAAACTAAGACACGCAGGAAGTGCGGGAGAGGACAGAAGCCAATTAAGTAAGGGCAGATGGTCCAGGAGTGTCCCTGGTCCTGCCCTCAGGCTCTAAGAGGAGTGCCCACTGCTCTTTGGACACTGGCTAACATGTTGTAGTACCAGCCCAAGGGGCTTGTATCATGGCAGTGTGGATGCTCTTCTCTGCTCCATCTTTCAGTTGCCTCTCACCCAGCCTCTCAGGATGAATCCATGTCTATCCTAGACTGCACACTCTGACAATGTGTGAGTAAGTTCTTTGTCTTGGAAAGCCCGTTTCTGTCTCACTCATTTTAGACTGGCCATCAGCCCCTCAAGTAGGGGGACTGGATTTACATAGTAAACCCAATAATGGGAAAGGGAGAGATTATGAATGTCAGAAAAACAACAGCTGCCCAGGAAAGGTCATCTAATGCCTGTCCTGTGGGTGGGGGCTTAGCTGAACAGCACATGTATGACAGTCACAGTAATTAAACATTTAATTCTTTAACCAAAAAATAGGTGAGGCACAGCAGGCTTAGAAGGAGCAGTACATACATGTGTATTCAGGATGGAGTGTGAATATGTGAGCAATCTTCCTCCAGAGGAGGAACTTCTGCACCGAGTCCTGATGGAGGACAAGGCTGCCCATGAGCCCCAGGTCAGCTCTGGGGCCTGAAGTCTCTGTGGAGCAGCAGAGGGGCAGGGCCCACAGCTGCCTGTTAACCCCAGGCCACTTTTCAAGCAGAAACACTAGAAACCTGCACTTCTTTGGTAAATACTTCTAAATACTAAAAATAATACTACAAATAGACAATATGGCTATTCTAGGCCACTGTCTTCATATTCCCTGCCACCTGGGTCTGAAACAGCTACAGTCTTTCTAAGGTAATTCCAGCTAATGACACAACACTACCTCTCCATTCAGCCTGCATCTGCCGGCCCCCTTTGAGCTGGGGAAAAATTAATGCTATAGGGAAATGAGCAGAACAGGGCTTGAAGCAGGAATAGGGTTATTCTGAGAACTACAATTCCTGGAAAGACCTTGTTTACCCCAAATTAACAACTGAAGTTTTACTTTAAAAAGTACTCCTGTTTCAATTATAAATTCTATTCAAATTCACTGATGATTTAATGACACTAATTAGATTGTGTGTTCAAGAAATCTGTCTGACAAACACCACTGCCAAGTGTCGTTAACAATATGATGGCATGAAAAGAGTTTAAACCATCAAAACAAAAGACTGCTAATGCAAAGACACAATTATATAGTCCAAAGGCTTTTATGATCTCAATTTTAATGAAAAATTAAAACACAAAAAAATGTAACCTTAAATTGCTATGATTCTGAGGTCCTGTCTCAGAGGCCAGCTCTATGGCTAGGTTTCTGGGCCTATAGCACCTCTCCTAGGGCCTGGAACTGTGGGGTAGGAAGGCATGCTCCCAGGGACTCACCTGAGCTGACACCAGATGCCTGGGTGCTAAGCAAGGACACTCTAGCTGATGGGCCCCTCACTCAAGGGTCTTCTTTATGCTTCTTGCTACTGCCCTGAAAACTCATACAGGCAAGGAGATTTATTTCTGAGACTCTTATTGTTTGAATCATGGGAACATTTAATCAATTGACAGAACAAGAACACAAAGTTACTCTTCACTACACCTGATAGAGATGCCCACTGCACATCTAGCCCTGTCTTCCTGTCAAGCTGCATGCTGCTGAAGGCTCCTGTGTATAAACGGCTGTGGGTAGGAATGTGCAATGGCAGGGACACCACAGGTAAACTATAATTCAGCAGAGCTCTTGAGTCTGTCTTTGGCCAGGATCCACACTGAGTCTGGAGGATAGCCAGTGCACGCACAGGTGTGGCTGGTTCTGAGGTAGCCAGGACAGTTAGGGTGTATCCAGCTGAGGTCTACATCCCTCAACCCTTATCTCATGCCATAGGACTCACTCTATTCTTTGCTCTGGGGATAGAGGTCCTCGTTTTACCACCCAAATGCTTGGAATTAGCCTAGGTATATCCCTGGCAAAGCACCCCTGTGTTCAGGGTCAGCCTTCAGAGAGGAAATTAGGCCCAGAAACCTGATTATAGAACCAGCCTGTGGGACAGGGTTTCCAAAGCACAGCAAAAGCTCATGGTTACAGGACAGACGTCCATCCTACAGGCCTGCCCAGAGGTGCAGTACGGCAGCAAGACCTGTATGTACAGGGAGGGACAGGCTGTGAACTTCTAAAAACAGTGAGAAGGGGTCATGACTGACACTGGGTCAGGAAGCTGCTGTCGAGGAGCTGTGAAGGCTGGCCACACGGGACATGAAAACGCGAAGACTGGTTTTAAACTGCCTTTAAGAGACATGTGAGGATATGGTTCATGTAGAGAATAAGACAAGCAGCCTGTGATCATCAGTCAGCTGGCACATCAGGGTCACTGGGTGCCATTACCTGGAATGACTTCTACTGTTTTCCAGCTGGCACATGGCCCCTGCCTAAGGCTAGCCTCCTAGTCCTGGAAAACAGGGCCCCATGGGAAATGGGCCTGACCATCCACAGCAGAGCCCTGGGCAACTGTCAGCAAGGCTTTCTCTCCTGGGCCTGATGTCGGCCTCTCCTACCAAGGAGGAAAGGATCAGGAGTGAAGGAAGAGCCTGGTGCTGGTGGGTTCCTTAACTAGACCACCCCAAATCCAAGAGAACAAAGCACGGGCAGTGGCGGCTGCAGCAGCAGCTGTCACACCACATCCCAGGACAATTAACAGAGCAAACATCAAAATACCAAAGACCCTGCTCTCCTTGTAGGCAGCTCTCAGAGCCCCGGGTGAGGTTTTCTAGACCATCTTTTCTCATAAAGCCCTAGGACAATGTTCTCAGTACACACATTCCTAAAAGGGAGCCTAGAGCTGCTAGCTGGCCTGGTCACCAGGGCAGGCAGGGCTCTGTAATGTGTTATCTGAACCAGGAACCAGCCTTGTGCAGCCTCCTAGCAATCCACATTCACAGCCTATAGACAGAAGTCACTGCCTAGGACTTTTGCATGGTTTATGAGACTGCTCCGATGATGGCAGCACTGCAGAAGTAGTCAGTACCAAGCCAGGCTCAAGGGTCTTAGATGCTGAGGCTTTACCTTGGTTCTAGTGGATGGGTTGGTGGTTCTGGGAAAGCACTTCTGGGAAGTGAGTAGACACCATACAGCCTCCATTCCGAGCCCAGTTAGGCCTCAGACAAGACTACCCTGACCAACACAGTGCAGTCACGGGAGACTCAGGGCAAGGTGTTCTTCAAGTCCTTACCTGCAGAAAACACTGTTGCTGGAACTGTGATGTGCTGGGTGACTTTGCTACATACCCATGGGCAACCTGTCCAACTGGTTTGGGAGGTCTTTTGTCTTAATGTGACTAATGCAAAATGTAGTTTCTACTGGACAGTGTGGCTCAACATGTCTCTCAGTAGAGACACCCTTAGCCTTAAAACCTTACCATATAAAATCTACATGTATGTTTTTTCCAACTTATTTAATTTTAAATTCTGGGATCAGATTAACTGTAGAAAGTAGACATTAAAAAGGTCTCTGTTAATAGGTTCCCCCCCACCCTTGTTCTTTTTCTTCTGGGGGGGGGGTCAATCATGAAAAGTCAGTGGGAAAATCTGAGAAAAACCACAATGAACACTGAGTCCTGTGAGGTGCCTTTCACCTTTTGGCCTGTTTTCCCACTGGCCATCTTCCTACACAGGAGTGTATTTTTAGAAGACAACTTCTACACCAGGAGTTTCTGTGTCCTCTACAGGAGCCATAAGGTCAGGGACATTTTCAGCAACCTTATGATGAGGGTCACCTGCTTCCTGGGTCTTGACATTCTGTGGTAAGACTGGGTCTCAGGTGCAGAAGGAATCATATGTCATCCAGAGGGTATCTGGTTTTTTCAGGTCTTAGCATTCCTTGGATGATGCCAATTCTGGCCCATGGGTCTAAGCACTAGATGGGCGGTGTCCATTCTGGGCACAGAAAGAGCAGCTGTCTCCTGTCCATACCTCAGCACTAGATAAAATCACACCAACCACAGGGAGAGGAATGGGGGGGAGGGAGAGAGGAGGAGGAGGAGGAGGTGACAGCAGCAGCAGCAACAGTAGCAGTAGCGGCGGCAGCAGCAGCGGTCACCTAGAAAGTAGCTTGTCTACATGTCTCAGCACTCCAAAGGTAAACAGACCCTGGACAGAAATATAGTATGACACAGAGTTCAAGGCTGCTGCTCACCTTGATATGTTCATGCAGCTGGGCCTCGTGCTGCCGGGACAGCTGCTCATGCTGCCGCTGGAACTCAGCAATGAGGATCTGCCGCTGGATCTGCTGTTTCTGTTTCAGTGCTAGAAGCTCCTGCTGCAGCTGCTGTTCCCGCAGAGCGGGTTCCAAGGGCAGCGAGAACTGGTGGTCCAGGCGCAGGTCCATGGGTACTGCTGCAGGGGCCACTTGCAGAGGCAGCGCTGTAGCCACGTCCACTGTGGAGAGAGCACAACACAGGAAAGTGGGTCACTGAGGCAGCAAGGCTAGCCCCAAGGTCTAGGTCCTTTCTTCCATGTAAAGCCTAGATGACAACTATCGTGGAGTATTGGTGGCCCCAAGGGGCATTTGGTGTCCCTTGGCCAATGCCCTGACACACTCAAAGTACAAGGCTCAGGGATCCTGGAGCTCTGTTCTCAAGCACAAAGATCTTAGGGCAGTGGCCAATCTGGCCAGGAGACATATTTGCACCGAGTTCTTAATCCTTACCATTTGCCAAAGTGGGAGGCTCTACACTCAAAGGACCCCATTGCAGGCCCAAAAGCCCATTTGAGGTCATACTGAAAAGTCAATAAAGGGAAACTACAGCAAAAGTCTCTGCTTAGCCATGCAAAGAGCCAAATTGCCAGTACTTGGATGGGCAAAGCGCCTATACTTTGCTTCTGCCCCTTTTCCTAATGAAGCCACTGCAGAGCTATGTATGAGCCTCAAGAACAGTGTGTGCCATAGAAGTGGTCCAGATAGACACTCAAGCGGAGAGCCTGTTGCCATGGTAAAATGAGCACCCTCTTGAAAAACATGTTTACCCAACCGACTGCAGCCAATAAAGTGTGCTCCTGGCGGGCAGCATGAGCGTTCATCGTGGTGGCTTCTGCACTCACACTGTGCCCATGCTCTGCAAAGGAGAGGGCACCGTGATTCTGACTTAAAGCAGAAGCTGAGTCAGTCTCAGTGCTTACAAAATTAATTTCAAATTAAAGTGAGAGAAACAATGTGGAGGAAAGGTAAGTTTTAAATTACTAACACAGGGTCAGAGAGATGGCTATGCATGTGAATAAAGGCACCTGGCCCCCATGCCTAACAATCTGAGTTCAATACCCAGCACCCACACAATTGGAAGTAGGGATCTTGAAAGATACCCTCTAACTTCTACAAGTGTGCCACTGCAAGCATGACCTATGCACCCCTCAAAATGCACTTCTGCATGCACACAAAAAATTTAAAACATAATTAACAACGAAAGAATAAATTTCCAACTTGGTGAAGCAGCCCTTCTCCTGTTGAAGGCTGTTCTGAGCAGCATGTCATGCATGGGCTCCTTGGAAGCTAGAAAGTTCCCAGCACAGTATAGTGCTACTACACAGCACCTATCAACAGGCAGCTCTGCTGCTGTTCACTGAGTCAGGGCAAAAGCCCTGTCGACCCTACCTCCAGAAAGCTCCTCCTCAGTGCCCTGGAGGCAGTGCTTCTTCTATCCACACAAAAGCACTGAGTTTAAGGGGAGCAGGCAAGAACACTACCCACTGGGAGGAACTCACGTTTAGAGGGAAGTCAAAGTGCGACACTGGCGGAAGGTGCCTGATGTCCAGCTCCTGGCCCTCATGTCTGGCCATGACTAGAGTCCTCTCTAATAGCGGCTACCCTATACCCTTGCTTCTTGCTAAATTCTTAGGGCTTTCTGCTCACAGATGCAGGGTGATCTTGGACCAAGACCTGCCTGAGTAACTGTACTTGACAGTCTTGAGCCCACAGACTTGAGTAAGAAAGGTGCCTCTTTCTCTTGGTGCCTGGCATTCATTCCTATTGCCACTCCCATACAGCAACTCCCAAAGCTGGCCTCAATGGTCAAATGACTGAATCACTGAATCCCAGGGCTCTTCCTTGTCCTTCTAGGGTAAGGCTGTGAAGAGCTTTAACAGTCACCAGAACCCTAGCATTCTGCCTCAAACTATAGCTCTCCTGGAGAGTCCAGGACAGGATCAAGGAAGGAGGAATATAGCCATAATGTATACTCTCTTGGGTTTCTTGATGAAAGTCACCATCTTCCCATCCCAGATCCCTACAGGCTTGTGATCTGGCCCTGTGGTTGCCACTAGATCCTCCAGGACTAGACTGGCAGAGGGGTAGGAGCAGAAAGAAGCCAAACCGGGCCTTGAGCCAGCAGCCTGCCTAGTCATGAGAACACCAAGCAACCATAAGGCAACTGGAAATCTTCATGTCCAACAAAAGCCTGCTGTGGCCCATGGGTAACCTCTCCTACCAAGCTTACTGAAGCTCAGCCAAGACTTCTGCTCCTCATCATCAGTGAGGCCAGGCTTTGGCTACATACAGGCATGTTTGCACTTTCTGTACCTTGGCTCAAGCTAGGTACACTAGAAGCTTTCTATTTGATGTATGCTTGTTCCATGGACAGGGTTCTCTCTCACACAGGAACAGGGACTGGATTACTCATCTTTCCTTTTTGGTCTCTTTTATTACAAAATTAAAGAAGATGGAAAAATACAAATAATGCCAGTTTTATAGAACAACCTTATTTTCATGTTTACTCAGTTTCTCTTTTAAGGCTAAGACAGTATAGAGGGTAAGGAATTAAAGGAGACGACCTCCTTCCTCAGGGGCCGGGCTGTGCTGCCCAACTGAACAGTAAGTAACAGCAGGTACTTCTTGCTGGGGTTTACCTATCCCCCATTTTGAACTCGCAGAGAAGAGTTCAAGCCTCAAGCTAGTTAGTCTGCCTCTGACTACCTGGGGTAAGTGACATCATCTTTCTGAGTTATAAGCACATAAGGTCCCTGAAGGGCTTAGTCTGTGGCCACTTTATTTTAGAATGTGAGTTGACTAGGGATGAACGCTAGGGATGAATTAATTATGTATTCTTAGAATCTAGTTAAACAGTGTTAGTTTAGGTTAAATAAAAACCACAAGAAACTAATGAAACCATGACACAGCCTCACAGCTTGTAAACTATCTTTTCCTATGTGTTACTTCACTTGGCTCTGGGGGAGATGGCAAGTGCGATTCCTGCTGTAATTTGCTTACATGATCTATGATTTTATATATTAACAAGGTTGTGTCAAAGATGATGAGTATAAGAGCATGCTATCTGCCCATTTCTAATTTTCACAGAGGAGTGCCATTAGGAACACCTGGCATTTCTTAAAAAAATCAAATCAAATCAAAACAAAACAAAACAAAAAGACAAATACACAACCTTTAAAAGGATTGCTTTGGTTAACTTCAAGATGATAGGCCAATCCACTAATGTATTCATATTCTGGTAAGGAGGATGGTGGAGCTAAAGAGATGACTCAGAGGTTAAACACACTTGCTCTTCTGAAAGACCAAGTTCAGTTTCCAGCAACCATGCTAAGTGGCTCACAACTGCCTCTAACTCCAGCTCCAAGGGTTCTAATATCTTCCTCTGGACTCTGTGGGGCATAGTTGGTACAGAACTGAATGTTTAGGGACTGGCAGGGCAGGGTGTGCACAGGAGAGCTGGGGAGGGATGGGATGTGCAGCTCCCAGCAGTGGCAAGCCCAGGCTGCTCAGCAGCTCCTCCTCAGTTATAGGGTAGAGTAACAAGAGCTGAGGCCATTTCCATAGCAGTACTTTGGTGCTGAGGCTGGCCTTAGAGCCTGTTACAAGGAAACCACATCACATGTGGGCCAAAGGGTACTAATGTGAGTGTGGTAACAACTGAAGCTCCTTCTTCGGTCAGAGGTTAACTATTCAGCATTGATAGTCTTCCCATTGCAACACAGGCAGTATAGCTCCTGACCTGCAGGTCAAGACTGGCCAGCACCCCACCAAGGAATATAAATGGGTCACTGGGGTTCTCTGAGCAATACCCAACATGTGTGACTGAATGTGGGCAGGGCACACTGTCTGAAGAGGAATGGGGAGAGGACCAGAGGGTGCTTGTCACGCACTCAATATAGCTTTGCCATGACACACTAAAGCTGAAGCCGGGCAGAATGTACTGCTTGTTTGGAATTTTGTTGCTTCTTCATTCAATATGCTCAATTTACTGGTGTTTGAGCCCTAAGGCACTATTTTTAAAGCTGCTACCTTGGGTGTTTTAAGGTACCCTAACTTTGTAAGCCATACTGAAAGGTGAATGGAGTGTTACCATGCCCACCACACAGGATGAACAGATATGAGACTGCTCTTCACTCAAGTGTCATTCATGTTTACTGTCCCACATTTATCTGAACTTCCTGTACAAGTACCATCCATCCCAAAGGCCAGTTTTTGCCCAGATCTTCTTTTCCAATCCTTTACACATGAAAAGCATGATAGTCAGATCCCACTCTCTCACTTCCAGCGGCCCAACCACTGCAGAGAAAGAAGTCAAGGACAGGGCTGTGTGGACTACAGGTCTCTGGGGACTACCTACACTGAAGAGAAAGGGGCACCGCTCCGACATTCTAAGCACCATGAAACAAGACCCATGTGAGAACCCACTGAGACCCCTCCTCAAGTTCACAGTGGGCCTGGGCTCAACTGTTCTCCATGAAGAACAGGGAGGTTGGTGCTGGGAGCCAGCACTGTCTTCAGTGAAATCCGCCAGTGAGCTACAAGAAGTATTTCCTTGTTACACCAAGTGTTGGGAAAGGACAGAAAGAATGCCTTCACCTGCATCCCTAGGGGCCAATCAGAACTTCTCTCTTGGCTACAGAAGTAGAAAGGAAGCAGATCAAAGAAAGGTCCTTTCTTACCTGCAACTTAACATCCCATGACTTCCTACTGTTGTTGCTCCTCTCAAGCAAGGCCACCTTGGCAGACACAAAATGAGGCCTGGAACTCACATAGACTCGGCCAAGGGCTCCTGAAAACATGGCCTGCCCACCCCCACAGCCATCATCAGGAGGCCAGGAGGCGTGGCTGTAGCCCTGCTCAAGTGCCAACTGCAGAGACTGAGGCCATGGTCCCCATTCACTCATGAGAACATGGCACTGGCAGTTGCGTCAAGAATGACTTGTACTATTTCTGTATCAAAACCACTGGAAATGCCACAAGTCCTCAACAGAGGCTGCTGCTAGTGCTTTTGACCCAGGGCTTCAGGAGAAGAAAACGAAATCCTCTCTTTTTGAAGAACCCAGCATCAAAAACAAAACAGCCTGTATTCTCAGGAATATTCTATGGGGGGCTGAAAACTCCTCCATAGGCTGTGCTTTGAAAGGCTTATCAATACAATTGGACCTGTGACGTCAGTGAG